CTGAACAGCTGAAGCCACACAGTGAAGGTGTAAATAATAATATCCTTAAATACATCATCTAACAGGTACCTGAGGGTGACATATTCTGCTAATGACTTAGAACTAGACTGAGCCAAGAAACTGTGTTTTTCACAGCATGGCGATCCTTCTTGAGACTGAAATATCCACACTTAGAACAAGGTCGAACACTGTGACGTCCACTGTGAAAGAAAAAAATCTCATTGTGCATATTTTATAGAGCGCCAGCCTCAAAGGTCGGGCACAAAGCTGGTGGACAGTTTTAAAATGGAAATTACAGGCTGCAGAAAGTAAAATATTTTCCTGACATGCACTTTGTTGAATACTCACTTTTACACTGTGATTTAGAACGGTTTAGAGGAGGTGTGTGTTTATTGCAGTTGTTATTTTTGCTGTTGTAAAATAAGAGAAATTTGGAGAAAAGAATCAGCACAGATCTCTCTCTCTACATAAAGTGAGGTGACTGTTGGGTGATGCAGACCCCACCACCAAGACATTTTCACCAAATTCCCAACAGACAGAGTGCATATTTTGACCTTTGCAGCCTCTAAACTAAAGCTACTGGATAAGCTTCTCCTTTTAAATGTGCCCAACTGGGCGAATCAATTAAAACAGTCCAAACTGAAGCAGACTATGGCCACAGGCTGTATTTATGGCCACATTCCCAGTGGGACCAAGCCTTCGTTGCTCTGGCTTGACCTCTGGACAGGCCGGAGCATCCCATATATATCTCAGCCACGGCTCCTGTCCCCATTAAATTCTGATGGAGGGAGAGAGAGCAGCATATTCGGATGAAATAAAAGCTTTATCATTTAATTATGTCTGCTTCAGCCCTGCTGTCTCTCCATGGAACATCGATTTTGAACATTTATGTTGGCTACATCATGTGAGAACAACTGGGGGTTGGTAAATGGATCGAAGATGTGAGAATTATGGGCTTTTACAACGTCCACTGAGACAGCTTGTCAAAATTTGGGCTATAGCAGTGAGATTGTTGCCACTTGAAGTTTATTGACTGTGCAGGTGCGTGTATATCTGGTCCTGAATTTTGCATGGTGTTGTGAGTCACATGTGAATAATGTAAATAATTTATTGGGTAAGTAACATCAGCAAGTTGAACTAATCTCAAATGTTTCTTTGGGGAGAGAAACAGTTCCTACAGATGAAAGGCTTCATCTCAGTATTACAGAAGATAAATGATTGAGGCAATTCTCTCTGCACTTGACAGGCATTGTCATGAAATTGCCAGGGTTCAATAATACATAAGGGATGAGATCATACATCACACCCAGGGCGTAATCTCTGAGGAAGTTTGGCTCACTCTGCCTCATCTTCATCGACATTTCACCTGTCAAAGAAACTCACGTGACCCTGACCCTGACATGGTATCGCACTGGCTGTAACTCAGAAGTATGACGCTCCCAGTTAATGTTCAAATGGAAGCTAACGGGAATGCTTTTTAGGCCCGCGCGCTGACAGATGATTAGATTAGCTGTAATTGAGACGTGTGCTCTAGCCGGAGCTGTTATGCCAGCACTCATATGCTCTGATTGAGAGAGCTCGGCTCACGACTGTGATGCTGCACAGAAAACGTGGAGATGTGTGTCAAAGCACTGCACCACTGACAGACAGTATTTTTTAAATATGCCTACCACCTTCTTATAAGGTGTTCTTCATAAAAAGTTTATTGATGTTTAATAGATTGTTTGTTAATGTTCTGAAAATTAGAAATAAGAACATTTGGGTTGCCAGGTTGTGAAAGATCCTTTTGGCTGGCATATATCCTCCTTCAGCTTAACTTCCTCCAGCTCTTCAACTCATCTTGATTATTTACTAGAGAGTTAGAAATGATCCCTCATTAATGACTCACTAACATTCATAACTGCAGAACTGATGGCTCTTTGGAGAGCGAGTAAGTCATAAAGGGTCATGAGTTCATTTGAGGATTATAACCACTCTATGAAGTATAAATGACTGTTGACAAAGCAGCCTCACCACAACATCCATGTGCAGCTCTCTGGAGCTTTTGATTGTGTCACACAGCCTCCATCAGCAGATGGAGTTTGCCCAGTAGTCATAAAATTGCAGATGTTGAGAATTCCATTTTTCTGAACACCTTAAAGGGAGAGCGTGCCGATTTTACACATCAAAGTCTGTTTACCAGGTGTGAAAAAGAGTGTTTAGAGCCTTTTGCTGCTCCACAGGGAGCTGTGTGAAGTTTCCCTCAAGTGATGTCACTTGAGTCAGCATCGGTTGGGTCTGAGCAGGTAGCAACACTTATTACACTGAGGAATACTGAATCTTCTACCAGTGGGTGAAAACTGAAAATCAAAGTGGAGGACGTGAGTCAGACTGACTCTGTTTGTATCAAGTCAGTTCAGTTTCTTTTTATTCTAAGGCTGTAGTCGACTCAGAATTATACCAGTCGAATTGGATTTGGCTGTAAAAATATTCAACTGATTGTCTCTTTTTTCCATATAAAGTTTGGACGGGGTTAAGCAGGGCAACAAGCAATGTTCATGTAATATAGTAAACAAGCCAAGTTAGCTCTCTTAGCAAATGTGTGCTTTCGGCGCCAGGGGTAGGCAACCTGTGGCTCTGGAGCCACAAATGGCTCTTCAGCCCATCTTTGGTGTCCTCTTATGACTTTGACAAAAAATATCATATGAAAATGAATAATAGCTATTTTTTCTTTAGCAATTTCATTTTAATTTATCATTGTTGTTGGCCTTAAGAATTTCTGCACCCTGCACCAAAAAAAAAAACAAAAACCCTGAAAGCATTCAAGCATACGCCTTTTCCTCCAAATTTTGCCAAACCTCAAGGGCAGTGGCTAGTCTTAAATCCCCTAGCTAGGCTAGCTATGGATTCCAAATCCAAAAAAGTAAAGTTTTGGATGAGAATAGAATATGTAATAGTGTGTGGACAGCTTCATTTGCTTTCACCACCAGCTCTGCAAAGTTAAAGTTCCAAATAATCATGAATTGCCATCAAACATGTTAGTGAATGCTCATTTAGTAATGTCAGTTGGCTAATTTAGACTTAATAGGCTGTGTTACCTTCATAATAAGGCTAAAATATGTTTTGTGGTTCAAGACAGATTTTGTTTTTATTATTTTTGGTAAAAAAAAAATGGCTCATTTGATGGTGAAGGTTGCTGACCCCTGAATTACGCTAAAAACAGATTGGAAATGTGCAACATTTTTTGCAGACACAGATATCAAACAAAAGCCAGAAATTATATCGTATTAAGTTGGTATGAGCTGTGAATTGGCCACTTCTTGGCCACTCAGAGCCTGACTGAGCAAAGCCTCTTTTCATTTCAAGCAGCTGCCTCCATCTCATTCAGACTCCCTTGGGTCTGGGTCTGCAGCTGCCTGTACTGGAGATCAGCCTGAAAGTGAGGAGTGCTCACTCTGCAGCTAAATCTGGAGACTGAAACCCCAGATTTACACTAGCTTGCAAAAAAACTGCTTGACTTGAAGAATCTCAGTCAACTGACAGGTCTGGGACTCATGATTCAAATCCTCTACTGTCAGGGGTCAGCCTTAGTTTATTCACAAGAAAGCCCAGTTAAAATACAAGTACAATTCATGAGACATAATGGAGATGAGATGGGACACTCTGATAAGCTATCTGAAGCTTTAGAATAGGGGCCCAGACTCTACAATGTTTATATAGTTACAATATACATAGAATAACACCATGTGCACCCTTTGCTACAATAGCAATGTAATGTATTGTGGTAGTTACTTTAGCTTGTCTTCATCAGTGCTGAGTCTGATGAAGGGACATATACAGAGAGCACATGTGCTCAGTCACATCGACTTTTGTTTCTCTTGCTCTACCTCCATGTGTGCCTCACAAACGCACACTCAAACTCAAATAGACAAACTGTTTTCATATCTTATTCCCAGACGCGCAGAGCTGTAAACAGCATGTCCCTGTAAAGTGATTATGTTTGGCGCTGAGCAGAGCAAGCGCAGACGGGCAGAGCGTGTGCACACAGAGTGTCTGTGGCCTACTGATTATCTGTCTGCCTGTCTGTCTCTGTTGATCCATTCTTCCCTTGCGACACAACCACGCCCTCACACTGCTCTCCCGCTGCCACTGCATGTCAGGGTAACAAATGGCTGCCTATCCCTCGAGGAAACTAGCATCATCATCCGTACACAGAGCCGGGGCAAAACGTCAGGAAACATGCATTTATCTAGCCAATCAATGCTGGATGGCTGCAGAGAACGGAGCTTAAAGACTCTGATGTGACGTTTTGTTGTCTGATTGTTCTGCTTTTAAAATGCAGCAACCATCAATTACTGAAGAGCGTTTGGTCGATGCAGCTTACAAGACACAAGCATGGCTGCTTCTATCAATACACATGATAGAGTGTACATGCAATTTGTTATTGTGGGATGTTGTAGGCATGTGAGTTTGGCCCTGTCAAGAGGGATCCTGTGGCTCGATCAATCTGTCCAATGAGCATCCTCCATCAGATAAAGAGCCCTGAAGGTAGGCTGTTGATAGATGATAACGCCATGTAAACTGTCTTGTCCCATTTCATCACAATAGCCCCCCCGCCACCACTACCACAGAAGGGCCAATTGCACACAGCAGTCCTCAATGCACGGTGGTGGGTGTTCTCAAAGAGAAAAGGCTTATCTTATTTAACCATGGGCCAAATGCACAAGCTGCCCCGTTAAATGTGAGTGTGTGAACAATATGCTTGGCCTCACTGCGGGGAACATACAGGTAGCTATTAATGTGTTGTTTCCATATGAGGTTATATTGCATTTCATGAGTCACCCTCTTCCCCCCATGGTGCACAGAGCAGACTGTTGTTATTATGGATGCCGGGATATTGCTTGCGCTGCCCTGAGGGCGCATTGGACATTTGTTATTGCTCCCAAATGTGGCTCTGCATTCTTGCTTATCTTGTGTTTATTCTTAGCTCTTTCTCCCTCTCTGTCAATGTGTGTGTGCAGCTCCAGAGACTAAAGCGCTCTCTGTCCTTCAAGACCATCATGCGCAGCAAAAGCGTGGAGAACTTCTTCCAAAGGTCCTACAGTGACGCTCGCCTGCCCCCGGACTTCATCACTGACCCACCGCCTCCTTCTCCCCCACTGCTGCCCGGCTCTCCGCTCGTCGGGGACTGCTCGCCGTCCAATTCGCCATCTCTCAGCCCCAACCCCTCCATTTCCTCCTACTCCCCGTCTCTCAGCCTTTCCCCATCGCTGCCCATCAAGCCGCCCCGACCACAGATCAACCACTGTTTCCAGGACCATGTCTTTCGCAAGCCCACCAACTGCCAGCACTGCAAGCACATGATAGTGGGTAAGGTCCTCGATCTACTCCCTAGACCAGAGATACTTGCTTTGCCCTTGGGAGGGAAAAAGGCCAGGGGCCAGTAAATAAACAAACATAAATAATTCATACATAAATAATAATCCTGGACCTCTGTTGGGGATTTCTGGCACTACATTTGACAAACTCTATTTTGGGTGTCTTTTTTCATGCACTCTGACAAAAAAAATCCCTGCATGAATCAACTTATTCTTATTGTGAATTAGAAAATGGTTGGCTGGCCAACCGGCACCCTTTCATGGGCCAGATTTGGCTCAAGGGTCATTGCCCTGTGTTGTGTCTCAAATACTAATGGCATACTTCCATTAGTACACTTACATGTACCAAACTGCGTACACTATGTACTCACTTGCATAGTGCATGATTTTAACAGGGTAGTGCTGTCTCAAATCAAACACAACTGCTGCGCTGACGATCACAAGAGCTGGCAGTTTTTCTTCTTCTGCTCAGAAAATTACAACCACGAAGAGCATTGTCACCAACATTTGATGAACAATTGTCACAATATATATGCTTTCATGGCATGATTCTACCAATGCCCGTTGTTGATACTGGCCAGCTCTATCACTAGCTGATCTACCGCGTCAATGGTAGTGGCTGCAATTTATGAATATTCATACCTTTTCCAGCATCTGACCACAAATCTAATACTAAAATCTTCTGCAATTAAGACAACAATTTAACGTGCATAAGAACCAAACAAAACTTAAACCCAAAGACTGTATAGCTGACGCCACAAGACATCAATAACATCAGTGCCTGATGCACCTAGCTAGCTAACGTTAGCTTTCACGTTATCGTTTGCGGTACCAAATTATTCCAGAATTAACTAAATAAACAAACTGATGGCTTATATCCAACAACAGTATAGTGGTAATGGAAAAATACACATGTACATCTCTACAATGCTTTGGTTTGGTGTTCATTGCAGTAGTCGGCTGACAATTCATCTCACAAGTTTGAAATGTATTTGTTGCCTTGCCTCTTCTGCTATGTTGCTGTCCAGTGTTCCACACTCCACTTTTTGACCGTCATGAGTGCACTATCTGGGTACTCGTAGAGCACTGCATTTGCCATACATCTCTGTGTGAACGCACTCATGTGCTCAAAATAGGAAGCACATAAGTATCCAATTTGAGACACAGCACTGGACTCTCTTTGCTTTCTGCAAGCCAAAACAGGATTTCTGGCCCCTTTGCCTTCCACTGCAAACTGGAGAGCACTTTTTCTTAGAGAGAACATTACGTGTTGTGCTAAAGACGTTGAAGACGGTTATATGGGGACAATGTTTTATCACCACATTAGGATTTAGGAGTCCACAACTCGTTAAAGCAATAGTTGAACCTTTTGGGAAATACACGCGTTCGCGTTATGGTGGAGAAAAGAAGATCATCTCATCTCATATCTCCGCCAGGAAGTGAATATAATGTGCACATTTCCCAAAATGTCATATTTTTCCTTCAGGTATGGTAGCACGAACATAATAGGGCCGCTTGTTTCAGAGAAAAATCCCCTGAAACAGATGACTATTTAAATTACCTCACCTCACTGGTGGATTTTTTTCTGCTTCATTTAAGGAATATTAGATTCAGAGTTGGACTGCATGTCTTCAACGCAGCTCTCTCTGTGTTTATATGCGTGAAGAATCCAGTAGATTATTAACAGGGATAGCTGCAGTGCAGACGTATGCGTGCTCTCAATTTGCTGCTTGCCTGAGCTACTAGCTGCTGCTAGTATTTCTGCTACATCTACTTCCTGTCACTATGATCAATTACAGATTCTAACCTGCTCCTCTGCTTTTTTTTTTTTTGCATGCATTGTGAGTTTATTTATGTGATGCATCACCTCGCTCTCGCTGTACTCCTCTGCAGTCCCTCAACACAGTCCAGCCCATTTGCTTGTTAAGCTGATGAAGTAGAATCCTTTTTTTCAAAGTAGTAGCGGTGTTTCCATCGAGCCATCCAGTTTGTTTGATTGTTGTTTGTGCTCCGTAATAGGCTTGTCGACGTCGTCCCATCTACAACAAATCTATTCATCTTTGGTTTGTAGGATAAAAAGAGACTCAACACCTTAATTGTTAAAAACATCCACCAGTCTTCAGAGGATTTGTTACTACCTAACACATGAAGGGAGAACTAAACATCTCAGTACTCAATGGCTGTTATCACTGAAGCACTTAAAAACAAAGATGAAAAAGCAAGATGACTCAATGCCAAATCGATTATCATTGAAATATCTCCAGCTGCTTTCTAATCTCTCCAGCTTGTTTTGGAAGAGGAGCTGTTGATTATGAAGCTGATAGTGTCAGCACCAGCTTGGTAAAACCACTACGGCTTTTGATTACTCTCTCTACCGGGGCAGAGGGAAACCTGCTCACATGATCTGAAGGCCACTTTGGTTTGTTAGGACTTTCTGCCTGTTGCAGATCTGCAGCCTGCTGTGTACTTCGTTGTCATGGCCGCCTCTATGTCTCTGCTCTCATTCTCACATCTCTGTCCCTCTCGGCAGGAAACTCCAAACAGGCTCTGCGGTGTAAAACGTGCAAGATGGCTGCTCACCTGTGGTGCACCTCAGAACTATCGCAGCAGCTGTGTCACGGGAAGGTGCGAATACACTCACAGAATTGTATTGTTTGATTTGATGCTCCGAGACATAACATTCTTTTTTATTGACATAATCACTTTATCTGTAATCTGTGAATCCACTTTTTTTTTTAATTTGGCAACATCTTTAGTGCTAAGCAATCACTGCTGTGGTGTCTCTATGTACTTCATATCAGAGAGTGTGGGCGATAATGTGATGTTTTTTGGCTTAGTTTTCAAATTTCAAAAAATCTGGTTTGATACCAATACGCAGCTGCATAAAGAATCTCAGGATAAATTTCAGATTTTCCTACAAAAGAAGACAAAATATCCATACAGCAATCATCCGTTAGCCAGCAGCTGGTTAGTGTAGCTCAGCACAAAGACTTAAAACAGAGAAACGGCCCTGAAACAACACATTCTCACACCTAAATCATCAAATACTGACACTTGGTCAACGCCCCTACGCTTCAAACTATGACGCTCTACATACCCCGCTTGCCATTAGCGTTGGACACTCAGGGATGGTGTGTCACTTTCTGCTTGTTACATACTGTCTTTTCAAAATAAATTTCCATTTTCACAGGAAATGTACAAGCTCCCAGAAACAACATATTCTCATTCTGACCTCGTCACATATTGACGTTTTGGTCATGGACTTTCCATGTCCACATATGACATGCAAGGTACCCTGGGTGCGTTGTTAGTTGCCGTTCTGGGACACCGTGTCAAGTTGTCTTCTTTCAAGATACGCTTCCGTTTTCACAGGACATTTAAGGTTTACATGCTGTTTCTTTCAAAATAACATTGCAAATTGACATTTTTTTTCCTTCAACAACAAACACAGATGGTTGGGTTTAGTCAACAAAAGGAAGTGGTTAGGTTTAGGAAAAAAAACAGGGTTTGGCTTTAGAATCTCACGGGACACGAACACAGCTCTCTTGGGTGAAAGTCATTTTTTGTTGGACCCATCCACCACCCATCCTTCCTGAGCCCCTCGGACTTTCGTCCTTGTCCCGCCACGTTTCCGCCTGATGCCGCAAGGGTGTGTTAAACTATAACAGCTATAACAGCAACCAGCTGCGTACCATGGCGACGTTTAAGGATGCATTTTTCCTTGGTTTCTGACGCCGCAAGTCGCTGCCCAAGTGCCAGATTTCGACGACTTTGGAGTGAGACCACGCTCCCAAAAACAGAGCCAGGCTTTGAAGCCAATTTGGCGTAGTGGCCAAACATGGAATTACAACTTCCAGGTCTATCACATGATGTCATAGATTTTCATTGCGAAAGAGACGTCTGTAAATCTGTGGATACATTTTTTTGAGCCTCACAACCTCCATAAACGGACACATTTCAATGTTGGGATTTGATCCATTTAGTCCCATAACATTTTGAAATTCTCAATAATTAAAATTAAATCATTTTATCCCCATTCTAGATAGTGGAGAGCTAAATTGTAAGATTCAGGCAATTTCATACCTTTTCAACTTTTTATAGGAATGAACAGGGCCCCGCCTCTAACACTGCACCTATCCAGTTCTCATTATACATTTTATGGAAATGTTCAGTTTTTACTTGTTACATGCAGACAGTGTCTTTTCAAAATAAGCTTAAACCAACAAAGGTTTATTTCATGTTTAGGTAGATGCAAAATAGTACTTGGTTAGGTTTAGAAAGAAAATTATGGTTTGGGTTAAAATAAGTACATTTGCTACTAACAGCGTGTGACATACCTGGTGTGTCTCATAGAGATGCTACAAGGGGCCTTGGTGCCTCAGTGTTGACGCCAAGGGCCACTGAGCAAGCAAAATCAGCATATCAGCACCTCTAAAGTGAATTACCATGTTATTTCTTGTTGATTTTTCTACATATTAAACAAAATGAAAACGATAAATTCGCTATTTCAGGGTGGGCTGTGTGCCGGACTCTTTCCTGCTGGGAGCAGTTACTTCTTGGAGTCTTCACTGGTTGCCTTGCAACTGCTCCTTGACAAGAAATTGCCCATCATATAACCCCCATAAAACATCTAATTTAAGGATTAAACAAACAAGATATGACATGTTAATGGATAAGCACCATTGCTGGTATACAGATTGTGCTACCTTTAGACAGCAAATCAGCAGGCTCACTGTTTTTGTGCAAAGCTAAGCTAACCTGCTGCTGGCTGTAGCGTCATATTTAATAGACAGATGACAGTTTAAAAAAAAATCTCAAGTAGCCCTTAATTCTGGGGCTACAAAGAAAAGCTTAAATTTTGGTCCTTTAGCAATTAAAATAAGGGAAACCGCAAAATGCACCAGGTGATGACTTGTCTTGATGTGCAAGCATGTGCAAGTATTTCATACATTGATGAAGAGAATGAAAATGTGCAGCACAAGTTTCTCCTCCTCAGTCAGTCCAGCCTCCAATTCCTCAGATTTCCAACAGTCAGTGAATTTAAACATCGGCAAAAATAACAGTTTGGATTGCAATCATGATTTCAATAACCTGAGCAGAAGCACTGTTACCATGGTAACTTTACCATGAACCTGTACTGCTGGATCATGCAGACTTTGACATGTTTTGTGGAACAGTCTAAAGTACAGTGTTTAAAATAAAAACAGCTTTTGAAGAAATAAAAAAAGTGGAAGATTGAACTCGCAGACACAAACACTGGAACACTCTTGACCTGAGGAGTGTGGCACGGTCTGCAGCAAATTGGGAGAGATTTCAGACAGAGCTTTTGTGTTTATCCTCTGGTGCAGGGCAGAGGACATTAGCATGCAGCAAGAGGCGAGACCTTCTGAGAGCCACTCGGAAAATTTTTAAGAGCACTGTGTTCAAAACGGCTCAATGCAGTTTGATGGAGCGCGAAGACGGAGACGGGGGGAGGTAGGGGAGTGACGAGGCCAGGGAAAGGTAAAATATCATCAGAGAACTCGAGTATCTTTTTACAGCAACAAAGGTGTTACGGAGCATTTCTCACGTCAACATAATATGACAAACTGAGTGGTTCATTTGCAAGTCAAGGAGAAGACAAACTGATATCTCTGCTGAAACACTTACTATGCTAAATTCAGTGTGAAATTGCACCACACACACACACACACACACACACACACACACACACAGAATCACATGTCAGTGCCTGTGTGTAAGCCATGTGCACACTCGTAAGTGGTTGAGTGAATTCATTGTTCATAATTAGAAGAAAAGAGAGCTGCACGTTGCTTTGGTGTGTGACAAAAAATTAGCTCTTTTTCCACAGCGTTTGCAGCACTCAGTGTGTCCTTATGTGTTTCTGATTCGGTAATTTTCAAATGACTTTATTAATGTCTTAAAGTCAGTACACGGAGCCAGTTTCCCGTTAGCTCAGCGTAAGAACACGAAGTAAACTGAAAAAAAAAAAAATCACTTTTTCTCTTCTCCTCCATCAGTCTGGAGCATTCAAGCGAAACTTCAGCTCACCGCTGCTCGTCAACGACCAATTGTCTGTCGTCAAGGAAGTTCAGCCAAGCCAAGGTGAGCATACCTGAGTGTCCCTGTGTGTGTGTGTGTGTTTTATGAGTGAGTGCACATGTGCATCGTTGTGCAATGTATGCGTCCTGTGTTTTGTGATGTTGCTCTTGTCTAGCCTTTTGGTCTATTTGTAGATTTTGGTGTGCTTGTGCATGCGCTGTAATAAAACCAGAACTGTCTCCATCTCACCTGACGACCAAGGAGGGAAAATATAAAGAGGAAGAACAAATTCAGCTTCTCTTGGAGGCTGACGGATGGTCTGCATCCTAAAAGTATGTGAATAAATATTTATAAGTCCTAATGTTTACGTTTCTTTATTTCTATTTATGCTTTTTTTGTCTGTTTATCCTTGGACTGACAGAGGGTATTGTCTGGTACTACAGTTTGCGCGTTTAAAAAGCTTCACAGCGTTGAAATGCTGCCTTTTCTTTGATTGGTTTAAAAAATAGAAGTCACATTTTTACTCTCTCATTGTCAAATAAATCTGCTGAAGGCTAAAACACAGTGTTGCAAGCACAGACTCTTGTGTCTAAAAGCACCCAAATTTGTTCTTCCTTTCATCGTAATCTCTGAATGGGAACGTGTTTTTCTTTGCCGTACCTTTTGGATGAACATCTGTGCAGGTGATGCAGTCCTTCGTCTCACATACTGTATGCCTTGCTGAATCAGGGTTAGCACCTTGTGCTGTCACTTCCTTGCACTATCCATGAATCAGAGTGCAATTAACCTACAGCTCTGTCATCACCCAGTGCTGAGCGCCATGACGCCTGGGACTCTGCCAGGGCCAGCTGACACTGCAACCTGCCAAACTCACAATCACACACTGCAAAGTGTCCTCATAATTATGCCAACCGAAGGCTTGGTAAAATACTGATCTGATGTTTACACACATTAATATCAGATGGCTTTTTCTCTTTTTTATAAAGGATTCACTCACAGACCCTGTAATTTTACATCAGCTGCCTTTTGGCAGAGCAGTTTATTGTGTCATATTAAACCTCATTTATGAGGGTGAGGCCAATAGCTGCATGAGGGAAGTACTTAACAGCTAAAGCTCTAGGTTGCAATTTTTCAGTGACAGTTAAAATCTGATTATCCACCAATTTAACAAGGATTTGATTCTCTATTTAAAAGTTCTGAATACAACATTCAGAGTATTGATATAGCAGCAAACATTTGCTATGTAAAGTCATGCTCCCTCCGTGTGTGTTGTAATCTGAGTTTCTCTGCTTTTTGTTGCGGTAGGCAGCACATGCACGTTAGTGGATGTGAGTCCCTGTCAGTGTCCCAATGGCTAGCTAAGCATCCCCGCTTGCATCACGTTCATACAGCAGTTGAAATCAGGACAGCGTTGTCGCAGAAGCATACCGCCCACCCTCCGGTTGGTTACCAATGTTAGCACTGTGCCATTGTTCCATTCATACATTCACATAATCGCTTATCCTGTTGCCTATCCCAGCTGACATTGGGCGATAGTCGGGGTACACCCTGGACAGGTTACCGGACTATCACAGGGCTGACACATAGAGACAGACAACCATTAATGCTCACATTCACACCTATGGACAATTTAGAGTCTGCAATTAACCTGCATATCTTTTGACTGTGGGAGGAAGACGGACTATCCGCAGAAAACCCATGCTGACACAGGGAGAACATGCAAACTCCACACAGAAGGGCTTCCCACCCACCCTGGGTTGGGGAACCCACCCTGGGTTCGAACTCCCCACAGTTTGAACAAGGAACCCTCTTGCTGTGAGGTGATAATGCTAACCACTGTATCACAGACCTGCCCAAAATTCCAAAGCCCCAGAAAATCAGAAAAATTCCCCAGTAGACGAAAGCCCATTTCTCCCAAAGCACATACCTCTGAAAATACACACTCTATGGAGTAAGTTTCAGTTTCCCATCAGTTACCCGATCCTAGATGTTTTAACTGATCCTTCGCAGTGTGTATCAGCGGCATTTCAGCCACCGATCCCAGTAGTTTTTCACCAACCCATCTCTGCTTTTCCAGCAACTGTTGTGCCACAAAAGATCTTTTCCAAACCAAAACCAAGTAGTTTTTGGGCCTAAACCTAACCACACATTCACCACAATGTTGTCGACACATGTAATATATCCATGGTTTGAAACATACAATGCAGAGCTATTTTTGAATAAATGGGCTTTGGAGTTTTAGGTAGTGGGGACAATGGGCAGTCTTCCTGCAACCACCTCTAAACCTTGGATACACTCTGAATATCGTATAGAGCTTCTTTATGGTATACACATTTTTTGCTTAACTCATTATCATGAAGTAGGCTAAAAGTTGACTGCACAATGTAATGGCTATATTATATTGATACCATCGGAATTTAGATCGGTTTCCTATAAGCCTCTCTGTCATAATGCAGCTCTGTCTGTCAGTGGGTACGATCTTGTGGGGAAAAATGTATTGATTCACAGCAGAAAGGAGCTGTGTCAACCATTGCACAATAAAACATGAAGAGGATAGCACTTTTGTTTTCCCTGATAGTTATCACTGGCTATCTCCATTTACCAAGGAGTATCAGTGTAATTTCTTTGCAGATATTATCCTCAGTAGGAAAAATGGCGGCTGGTGGAACAACCAGAGTAACTGTGGAAATTGTGGTTGTCTTTGCAACAGTGCCGCCAACAATTCTACCATTTGGAAATGCTGGGTGAAACACTGTGGTGTTGGGTTAAAGCTAAGGTAAAAGAAGGACTAATTTAGGAATGAGGGCCCTCTTGAATAATGTTGTTTGGGCCAGTCAAACTGTGGTTGCTTTTGAGTGTTTTAGCTTACAGATTTATGAAGGACGCTGTATCATATAGAATTCTCTTTTAAGCGCTGAAAAGAAGCCGAAGGTCAAAACCTCTCTGGAAATAAGTATTAGTATAGAGGAGTATAGAGTCTCTGAGCACGACTTTCTACTGTTTACTCCCCTGCAATTAATTGCTCTTTGCCGAAATGCCTCTTTCACTGAAAATGCTGCAATAAATTTACAGCACGCATGAGCTGTATCGCCTCTAAATACTCCACCAGGCGCACTAAATACATTATTGCTGCAGAATTTCTGTAAGTGTTCCTGTTTAATTTATCACCTATCTGACGAGAGCATGGAGGCAGTGACTTCAGTATTAACTGAAAATCATTATGACTTCATCCTGCACACACACACGCGCACACATGCGCGCACACACACACACACACACACACACACACACACACACACACACACACATGCATAGAGTCCTTCTGGCCCTGCAGAATGAAATCATTTCTGCCCTCCATTCGACTCGTGTTGAGCTGGATGGGAAAAGAAGCAGAAAATTTAATTCCTAACTTCAGAAATACTCCAATAGCACCAAGCACTGCCATCTACATTAAATGTAGGCTTTCAGAGGATTTCCATATTTTAAATCCCATCTCCTATTCCCTTTCTACTCAACTACAGATATATTATGGCTGTTAAAACTGAGACACATCTCCTGCCAATAAGTAATGTATAAATAAATCGAAGCATTGCAGATTATTGCAAAGTCTTGATGTCTCCTTAACTTCTGGCTGCTGTCCTCTGTCAGATCTAAAGTGGGTCACTTTGGTCCAGGACCGTGTTACTACAGTTATATTTAGAGCCTCTGGTTCCTCCAGATTGGCACAAAAATAATGATGTACAGTGTAATCTCAGTGTGCCGTCCAAACTGTGTGTGGCGCTGTGTCTTTGCGTGAATAATTTACACGTGTGTTAGTAAATCAAGTGAACATAAGTGTGTGTGTGTGTGCATGAGTTTTATGAATGTGTGTGTGTGTGGTTTCAGAAGCTGTGCGGATGCGTGTAGACCCCGTGTATGCCGCCTTGCGCTACGGGACGTCCTTGGCACAGATGAGCCGCTCCAGTTTTGGCAGTTTGTCAGAGTCGCCAACACGCAGCCTGGTATGACATCATCACCCTGTTGTTAGGGCGTAGAGGACAGTTGGATCAGTGTGATTAAGACATGAAGTTTTTATGACACTGATCCATTGGTCAGCTCACTGGTGAAATATTGAGACAATAGATAGTGCACTGCAGTGACTTGTCATCACACTCCCTAGTTTATAGTAACATATTTTGTACAAACAAATCATCTTAAATATTTTCCAGAATTGGGTAATTCTATAGATTACTAAGGATAAATAAGAATTTTTAGGAAATGTGTGCATTCATTTCCTGGCAGAGACTTAGATGAGAAGATCGATACAACTCTTTCGTATGTACTGTGAGTTTGAAGCTACATCCAAGAGACAGTTAGCTTAGCTTAGCATAAAGACTGGAAACAGGGGGAAACAGCTAGCCTAGCTCTATCTGAACGTCAAGTTTAAGTCTGTTTACTAGCACCTCGAAATCTCACCTATTTACATGTTATATCTTGTTCATTTAATCTGTACAAAGAAAACAAATTGTAATTGAGGCAATTTGCCATTCTATGGAGGGTTATGTGCCGGACTATTTCTTGTGTCACACTTTGGATTCTTCCATAAGTACACTTCTATGTAGTACACTGTGTACGCTGTGTACTTAGTTGCAAAGTGCATGAATTTTGACAGGGTATAACTTGTCTCATATCGGACACAGTTGTTGTGCACTCGGCGGAAATGCAGTTGCAACATTTGAACGCCTGCTCTTCCTCTTTTCAGTTTTAATGTCAAATTGCAACCAGATGGAGCATTACCACCAACATTCAGTGGCACGTCCAGAAAGTTTTCATAGGGGCGGCCAGATGATTCATTGTTCTTCAAATCGTCTGGTTGTCCTTGTCCTTAAAACACAAATATACAGCTTTAATTTGAAGGAGAACATTGATAATAAGAAACAAAACATTCACTGGGAACAAGTCTTCTCAAGGTTAGGGGAGACACTGGGATATTCATAGAACCCATTTTCATTCAGATATCTTGAGGTGAGAGTTCAATGGGACGCCTTTGAAAACTTCCGCCAGCCTAACTTTGGAGCGTTATTTAATCTCCTTTCTGAAAAGCCATGCAAACATGGATGTCTTGCGTTATTTAGTTTCACAAAATACCACTACCTTCAGACTATTTTAAAATATGAGCTTCCAATTATTTTCACCATAAGGGGCCAGTGTATCAAGGAGCTACCCCCCCTTGGGGATGCCACTGCCAATACTTGACCGATTATTACTCACCAAAATATCTCCCGGCTTGTTGACGTGTTTGCTGGAGCACCTGCAACTTCTTCAGCCACCATTTTCACATGTTTTGTGGTCCCCCCTCTTCCGCTACATAGCCAAGATGGCAACCATTGAGGTCATCCTACATCCCACACTCTTTGATGGTTAGTACACCATCCAGGTACTCATGGTGCACTGTATTTCGCCACACTTGTTATTGTGAACGCACTTATGCACTCAAAATAGCAAAATGTAAGTTTGGAACATCGCAAATTGAGACACAGCGTAGGTCTTCTAGTCTTCCTGCATAGCTAAACTAACCATCTGCCTAACACTAGAGTGGTATCAATCTTCTCACCTAACTCTCAACCAGTAAGTGAATTAGTGAGTGTATTTCCCAAAAACTTTCAAAGCTTTTTCAAAGTTTCCTCTAATTTGAGGCAAGTCCCCTACTTAAATCTAACTTGACATAGGCTATGGTGAAAGTGTTATAATTAAGCACCAGGGTATCATATGTGAGGAGCATAATGGATGACACTGATCTCTGTGTTCTTTTCATTAGACATGCAGCTGAAGCATTGCGCAAGTCTCCTTTTTCAAAACCATTTTCGGACATGATCTAACAGCATATAAGTCATTTATGCAGATCCTGTTACAACACAGAGAACTAATCTGTGTGGTGTGCATTTGGAATAATTCAGAGCAGAGAAAAGTGTTACACCCACGATCACATGCATCCTCATTGACATCCTGGTGCTAACATTTTCCTCTCTATTTCCTTCTTTGATAAGGGGGAGGGAGGTGAGGAGATGCAGCAGAGACAGTGCAGCATGGAGGAAGAGATAACCCAGGAGACAGGGGGTAAAACACTGTCTTTGTCTCCATAGATGTGGATAGGCACATGTGCTGTATTTCCATGCCTATGTGTGTCTATGCATATGTGGTGTTTACCTCGGCATGTCCGTATGTGTGAGTGAGAGATTTACTGTGACTGGTTGTAAAAAAAATTACACACCTGACTGCATATGTGTGGGTGCCTACGTGCCTGGCACCTTCTAAGAATATTTCCCGCTACCCTCAGATGACCCTGTCCCCAATGTCGAGATTGAGAAGGAGGATGACGAGAGCGGCGGCCAAGCTGACACTCCTGCAGAAGCTCAGACTCAAGCAGAAGCTCAGACTCCTGCAGAAGCTCAGACTCCCGCAGAGGAGAGCAGTGCAATGGTACCACTCTGTTTAATCACCCTGTGCACACTGTCACCCCTTGTTGTTTTCCTCCTCCACTGTGTATTTCTGTCTCACTACCTCCCTGTCCCTGTGTCTTCCTGTGTCCAGGTGCCCAAGCGCATCGAAGTTCACTCCATCCACACCTATGTAGCGCTCTACAAGTTTCTGCCTCAGGAACAGAATGACCTGGAACTTCAGTGAGTAGAAGCCAGACTGCCGATGGCAAGCATTTTCATGTGTGTGCACGTGCAGGAGGGCCTGTGTGGCATTGTGTTTTTGCTATTGTGCGTTTGCTTTGTCTGTGTTTTTTCCCCGGCTGTTGTTCCTGTAGGATGAAAATGTCCCCACCATCTGCAGAGGACGGTGCCAGGGCGCCCTTAAGGATGACTAATTATAAACTCGAAGCCCATCACTGTCCCCTTATAGAGCTAGCGACTGAGCTGTGTTCCCAGCAGGGGAGAGGATAAAGACACCCAACAACCGAGAGATGAAAGGGATGCGAGACATAAGGGGAGATGGCATGGTGCTGGAGATTATCATAGGAGGAGAGAGCGAGAGAGAGGAATAGGCGGAGAAAGCAAAGTGCAAATATAGAAGTAAAAGCTCCATAAGATGAAGGAGGGCAATGAAATAGAAGAAAGGAAGGATGGAGCAGTGAAATGAGGGCAGGATGTGTGTTTGCATGGTTTGGGGACAACAGAGGTAGATCCATGGGACTGTCAACAGCCATCTGTGCTGTGGCTCTGTGTGTGTGTGACTGCACAATATACAGTATGTGCACTAATGAAAGCATTACGTCTCTGTGCTTCTGTTGGGTTTTGACCTGTATGGACTGCAGGCGACAAAAACTAGTTAATGTTTTTAATTGGAAAAAGTAAAATCAATATATTTTTCAGTATTAGGGAACACTCTGGGTGCATTTATTCTAAAATTGCAGAGCTAAAAGATTTACAGAAAACATGAGCACTTAAGCTGAACACCCACACTGGTGTTTTCAGTTATTCTGAAGGATTTAATGGAGCTATGCTGGTAATTAAGGTCACCAAAGCTCCATTGTTGTGTCCAAAATCACCCCATATTAGTTATCACATTGCACTGTTTACCCTCTGCCATTATATTTGACTGTTGGTATTCTGAGTGTGAAATTTATGCAGATATGTACTGCCCTGTTCCCACAGTGGAATGAAAAAGTAACATCCATGGCATGTACACTATTGAGTAAACCACTGAGTGTTGAATCTATCGCTCTGTCTATAGAGAAACAGTGAACGAGGGAGTGATTTTAGATACAGCCTATGCACTAATAAGACTAATAAAGGTGTAAGTTGCCCAACCCTGACAGTTGCAATGCAACTAACAGGAAATTGAGATGTCAGTCAAGCACAAATGACACCATACTACCACAACCACAACCAGCAGAGTGAGTGAACACACCTGGTTGTATAAATGTTGTGAACAGTTTTTCACAGCCAGCAGTTTGACTTCTCATAGCAGGAGAAGACTACATGTAATTTATAACATTAGAAATGACTGAATTGGGCCAGTTCCAGGGTCCTGTACATGGTGTTCTCACTGTCATGGCTTACTGGGACACTGGATGGAGCTGAGCCATCGTTAACAAAATTACTTTCACCCACGCCTTTCCTGCTATGACAAGTCAAGATGTCTGCTGTGGAAAAGGTCTGCAGGTGGGCTTTTATTGACCCCCCACTGTTTCTATTGGAATGTTCAAACTGGCAGCGAATGAGGCAGCGCTGCTGTTTTGAGCTGAACTTTTGTGAGTTGCCCTGTTTCTATTTATTGCTGTCACTCGCTTTGAAAGCTCCACAATGGGCAAAGAATGGCTGAATGAGGAGCTATCTACATAACAGCCCCTCATTTACCTACAAAAATCTAAATAAGGTGGCTGGAGGGAGATGACCAGGAAGCTGAAAGTTTCTGGTAAATGTTGGCTATACTGTCTGTTGTTTCCAGTAAATATATACACAAAATAAAACATGTGTTTTCTGTTTTAAAAGAGCAAACATCAAAAAATAGCAAGTATTTGCACATCTCTTCAGTGGTTACGTCTCCAGTGGAGCACACAGCTGATAGGCAGCCTAAGTGGTTTGTCACAATGACGTAAGAGAAGTGCACATTAAACAGATTAAGTGCAGACAGAGAGAGCGACATTTGCTTTTAGGACACTGTGTAAAATTCAGATGAGGCACACATTTTCCTTAAACAGACTTTTAAACAGTGTGTGCAGTGCACCTGCTACAAGGCATTGGCAGAGGAGATTCACAGCGAGGACACTGTTATGTGTTTTTGGCATGAAAAGATGTGACCCAGACAAATGCAGTGAGAAGTATTTAAAAAGTAATCCAAACTATTCAGTATACATTACTTAGTTTGTGTAATCTAATGGAATACATTACAAGTTACATTTAAGGGCATGTATTCAGTAATATGTGGTGGAATATGTTTTAAACGTAACCCTCCAAACACTGGTTACATCCAAGCAGTAACCTCTGGGGCTGAAAAATGAAGCCAGCAAAGGTACAAAAACTACAGTTCCTAGAGTGGCTGGCTCCAAAAGTGAGTCAATCCCCATAAAAGAAATAATTCTTTTTACAAAAGAAATAAACATGTTTAAAGCTTGGTATAAAAATGGTTTTGGTCTCCATAGCTAATTTGAACTTTCATTACAACTGTATGTGGCTGATTTTTTTATGTAACTTACCCCTTCACATTTTATTAAGACTTAAAGTTACACGTAATCAAGGGCAGGTCACTTGGAGCGACAGGCTGTCTGTGTCCTTGGCTTCTCAGTCAGATCCACCCCTCGCTCCCCCACAGCTCCAGCCTCTCGCTCAGATATGGTCACCTCTAGCTCCAAAAACAAACAAGATGGCGACGGTGGTAATGCCAAACTCAAGGCTTCAAAACGGGAGTTCACAAAGCGGTGGGTGACGTCAGAGTAGCTACATACATTATTTTAACAGTCTAATGGTACATCACAAATGTAAGGAACCAATCCAGCAAGCTAATTTTCACTTTTACTTCAACTTGTCAGAGCTGGCAATCAGGAACGAGTTTTATCTCACATTAGCAATATGTTATTAGCTTGTTCAAGCTGAACACTCGAGAAGGTATGCTCAAGACACACGCAAGTGGCTGAGTGGTGGGTGATGATAGAGGTGGGGCTAATTTGCATATTTTCAGATCAGGGGATAGTACATGAGGGAAAGATGTAGAGTGATATCTAAGCCATTTTAAGCCTGTAGTTTGAAGGTGAAGTAAGATCATTTTAGTTTAGCTTTCTTTGTAGATTTTGATTGGATCAATAGCAGATCCTTTCAAAAGTAAGGGATACTAAGGGTTTATTTATTTATTTATTTAACTCTTTTGAGAATTTAGCAGAAAGAAAATGGAGACTCTCACACTGTCATCTGAAGCGACTGTTTCTGCCTCCCTGTCTGTGGGTGCACAGCAACAGGAAATACTGATGCAACGTTTAATAAATTATGTCCCAATGTTAAGACTGTGGCATATGCAAATTACATCATGTCCGACCATCCATTATTAGAGAATCATCGAGGCATATTTAAGCAAAGCTGTCATCCCACAGACTAATCCTACTGTTCAGCATATGCATACAAACTGCATGCGGATACCTAGAAGATGCATAAATGAGTTTGTGTCAAACTCTGGCTAAGAACATTTTTTAATATAACCTATCCAAAAAACAAGCAAACTAAAAATACATCTAGGTTTTAAGTAGCTGTGCTCCTAGGAGAAACCTCAGTGAGCAGAACAATGTCTCATATTTCATAAATGGCCAGTATCAGCTGAGATATATGGGTCTTACCCTAGTTGGTAAGTTTACATAACTGTGGGCAAAGTTGTGCGTGTGTGTGTTTGTGTGTGTGTCTGTGTGAGCAATGATCATATAGGGCAGTAGTGAGAGCAGACACCCAGGAGACGCAACATACAGAAGTGCATTTGGGACAGCAGTTCCTCCCTGTGTATCTAGGACAGGGCGTACACTGTGAATGTGTGTGTGTAGAAAAGTCTCATCAAAAACTGGTAGCATCATTAGCATGCAGGCCAGGTTGGCTGCAGATTAGGTCCAGCCTTCACGACTGCAGCAGATGCCACACAGTCGTATTTCATGTAGACCTCCTGACTTTGGTGTCAGCTGCTCTGTCACCTCTGCAGAGGGACACAAAGACTCGTTTTAACCTCCACAGCTTTGTAAACGTCGGTACAACAGCTTTCTGTGACAGTTTGATAATGTTATCTTTTGTGCTTGCACTCAACTCTTTTTTTTCTTGCTTGCCACTCTCCCTCTCTCCATCTCCACATCATGTATCCTGCTCCCATCTCCCCCTTTTCCTCTCCACCTCAATCACCTCCCCTTTCATGTCTCCTTTTTTTTTTTCATCTCCTCTTATGTCTTATCTCCTCTAGGCCCGGTGATCGTGTGCAGGTCACTGACGACTCCAACGAAGAGTGGTGGAAGGTAGGTAATAAATCATTTGCAAACATCATGTGTGTGCACCTGTGTAATGTGTGCGTGTGCATTGGCTGTGCGCAAGTGTTAATTCAAGTCTTTAAAACAAGCCTGTTAATGCATAACACCTGCTCCAGTTTTGCCTGCCATAAACATGCAGGCAGCCACGGACAGAAATAGAACATAATTTCCTCCGAAAATTATCAAGAGTTTACATAATGAACTAGACTAGTCTCGCAGCCTCAAAGAGATCTTTATTGAGAGTGTAATGAGCTCCTGATGGAAACAAATGTGCATCTGTGTGTGTCTGGGTTTTTAGTCACAGAAAAAGAAGGATGCACCCAGGCTTAACCAAAAAACAGAGTGTGTGGACCAGTATTTACTAGCACTCATGTAAGCCAAAGGAAAGCAGCAGTCATTAAACCCTTCATGTCAACACTGTCGCTCCAAAGAACCTTTAAATTATATATAATTTGTGAATCATCTGTTCATCACTAATATATGGTTTATGAATCACTTCAATACCAACACCTGAGGCAGAAGATGATAAACTGTAGGATATTGCTCCATAATGAGGTTCGCTCAGACATCATCTGTTTTCACAAGCAGGCAAAGCAGCATAAACTGCTGTTTCTTTGAATACATGGAAAACAAATCTGACATTAAGGTGGAGCAATTTCTTTTTTTGCATTTCAAAACAGTTATTACCTTAATTTGTGTAATGCGAGTGTTCCGTCTTCTTGAGCTGTCTTTACACTTGTCTCTGCAGCCTGAATGATTCGTCACTGCACAGACAGAAACGTCCTCCTGTCCGTTTTTTAATTTGCCATTACTATTCAGAATGAGGAAAGTCTTTCTTTTCAGTGACTTAAAAGATGATGACAACTCTGAAACATGTCAATAAGTTCAGAAGCGTTAGGCCAGTCTCAACATCTGCGTCAGTCAAAACCGACATTCATCTGGAATCAGTGGGATTAGTGGCCATAATAAAAGCAGCTATAAAACTTATTCACTACTACTTTATTAAGAATGAAAATGAGATGATGTTGCAGCAGTGATGGGCAAAAATGAACAAGATTATATTTCTGAACTCTTTTTAGTGTCCAGTAGGCTATGTAACAGATCAGCCTATCGAACGTCTGGTTGCTCATGACTTTGTGACATGTTGTAACATAGTGCAGCAACAACACTGAATGAAAGAGCAAGGGCTGATTAAATGAGCCCAGTCTCACTCAGAAGTTGTCAAAATCTGGCGCTTGGGCAGTGACTTGCAGCGTCAAAAAACAACCAAAAAAGCGTCCTTTAACGTCGGCATGATACACAGCCAGTTGCAGTTATAGTTTAATGGCGCCGGGCAGCGTCAGGGGAAAACGCGGCGAGACAAGGATGAAAGTTAAGGCGCTGAAAGTCTGACTGGGCCTGGCGGGAGGGGTGGTGGATGGGTCCTACAAACACCAACTTTCACCCAAGAGAGCAGTGTTAGCGTCCCGTAAGATTCTAAAGCCAAATCCTGTTCTTTTTTCCTAAACCTAACCACGTGCTTTTGTTGCCTAAACCCAACCATGTGTGTTAGTTGTTGAATTAAAAAAACGCCAATTTGCAGTGTTGTACCAATGTAGTGCGTACATTTTGAAAGAGACTGTATGTAAACGTAAAAACGGAAGTGTATCTTGAAAGAAGACAATGCATGTAACAGGCAGAACTTGACACGGTGTCCCAGAACATCCACAACCAACGCACCCAGGGTACCTTGCACGTTGGATGTGGACGTGGAAAGTCCATGTACAAACATCCATACGTGAGGAGGTTAGAGTGAAAATGTGTTGATAAAATCGGACTCCAGTGGAGACCTCTTAGCCAAGGCCAATGGTGCATTCACATGCTCGTTGAATGGTTGCTCTTACGCCTTTGGTTTGTCCATGAGCTTTAAATTGTAGTGTGAAAGCATCATGGATGCTATAAAGAAGATATGTTGTATTTATTGTGCTGATGATAACAAAGAGCAGAAGAAACAGATCAGGCTAGAAACATGATGAGGAGCTCACTTTCAGATTATGTTGACGCTACATGAATGGAGCACAAGGGTGCAGAGGTAACTGGGTTGACTTGCCCCTCAAAGAACAACAGATTGTTGGTCAGTCACATTCCTACAAGGCAAGGCAAGGCAAGGCAGCTTTATTTGTATAGCACATTTCATACACAAGGGCAATTCAAAGTGCCTTACAGAGCAATGAAATATAAAACTTAATGAAGGATACAGAAAAGAGTAAAGAGAGAAAAGACATAAAAGGTAAAATTAATTACTAAATGATTTACAGTTTAAAAATATCGCCATTAATAATAGCAGAAGTGCAGACAAGAGATGCAAATATAAAAAGATTATTTAAAATGATTAAAAATTGAGTTTTAAAATAAGGTTGCAGTCATTACAGGGTGGAGTAGGCAGTGTAAAAAAGGACTGTTTTTAGCTTTGATTTAAAAGTGGTCGGGGCTTGTCTAGCATCATCTGGGAGGTTATTCCAGGTTTGTGCTGCATGATAAGAAAAAGGTTCAGTACATTTACATGTATCAACTTAAATGAACTGTGAAAAGAGTCAGTCCACCCATGACTATATTACTGTATGTAATAGTCATCAATGACACTCAGATACATTTCACTGACTGACTGACTATACTGTCCTCCTGCGTATTTCAGGGCAAGAGTGGCGACAAAGTTGGCTTCTTCCCTGCCAACTTTGTGCAGAGGGTCCGGCCAGGAGAGCGAGTGTGGCGGGTCATCCAGAGTTTTCCCGGCAACCGAGAGAGAGGCCACATGGCTGTGAAGGAGTCTCAGGTACACCAGTGTTATCGCTTCTCTCATTTACCCCTCAAATAACTACTGACATTTTGAATCATTCATTGTTTGTGATGATCTATTTGTGTCACCCGCTTCATCCTGTGCAGAATAGCAGGGGGCTGGAGCCTATCCCAGCACACACTGGGTGAGAGGCGAGGTACATCCTGGTCAAGGCGTGATCAAAGAATTGGCACCAAAATTATCTCTGTGTCTGTGTGTCAGCACTACAAGGCTCATTATTTCCACTTTTTAGTCTTTCAGCAAATAAATACACAGATTTGTTTTCACCCACACATCCAAAACTAGTTTTCCTACTGCGCGAAGACACTCTGCACTGTCACCACTGTTTACATTAAGAGTTTCTCTTTAATACGTCAGAAAATTGAATATGAAAATTAAAAACACAATGATTCTTCTGTGAATAAATTCAATTCAATTCAATTATGAAAGGATTATGTTCCCAAATCCTTCCGGGATAGTTAAATGAGGGGCTGCGTTATAAAATAGTATTTCTAAATCATATAATATTAGTGTTGTTGTTGGTGTTATGCCTGCACACTGACGATAGCCTGAAGCATCATGTTTCTGGGTTCTCTGTCCATCCCATTCTTGTGAATGCAATATCTCAAGAACACCTTGAGGCAATTTCTTCAACTTTGGCACAAACATCCTTTTGGACTCAACAATAAACTGATTAGACTTCGGTGGTCAAGGGTCCAGGTCAGTGTGACCTTGCATCCGTCTCATTCTTGTGAATGCAGTATCTCAAGAACCCGTTGTGGGAATTTCAACTTTGGCACAAACGTCCACTAGGGCTCAACGATGAACTGATTAGAATTTGTCGGTCAAACGCAAGATCAGTGTGACCTTCTGTCCGTCTCATTGACGTTAAGGCAATAGCTCAAGAGGACCTTGAGGAAGTTTCATCAAAGTTGACACAAACGTCCTCTTGGACTCAAGAATGAGCTGATTAGAATTTAGTGGTCAAAGGTCACTGTGATCTCACAAAAAATATTTTTGGCCATAACTTAAGAATTTGTGTGCTAATTATGACAAAATTGCAAACAAATAAATGTCCAATAGGATAAAACGATTAAATTATGACATTGCATATCCAAAAGGTCACACTTTTCTGGCCATTCTTGAATGATATAGCTCAGGAACAAAGGGGGATTTGGTCAGATACTGAATTGGCGACTCTAATCTTGGGTGTCCACCTTGAAACTGTGCTGATATAGATTGTCTGTGCTGCCGGGGGAAAACGTGTGCGAAGCATTCATATTTTCACAGACATGGATGTAAACTGTAAGAGTAACTTCACTGGTTTGCGGAGGCATACAACAACAGGGCAGCAATTGTAGTTTTTGAAATGAGCGTTCACCATTTTCTTTAAATATTCAGAGAGGATTCTGACAAATTAAGATATACTTGGCATGAATTACATTGAATAACTGTGGGCAACTGTCAGCATGTTTATTCATTCTGTTGGCTCTGTTAATTTACAAACATATTTCAATCAGAACAGACTCACTCAGAGTGAAAGAATATTTCCTTACATGTGCACAAAAGTAATAGAAATATGAATAATCTTTGGCGATTCGACCCCTTCAGGATGCCATGTATTTAAAGGTGTGTGGTGGTGAAGCCGTAGTAGAATAGGGAGCCTCCTTTGTGAGTCCAGACACTGGTGGAGGTGGTGATGAGATGAAGAGGGTGCTGAGGGTCTGGATTTGATAAGGAGTTGGCTTTGAGCTTGACCTGGGCACTGGATGTGATGACTGAGGGTGGATAAGGATGGAGGAGGGTGCAATGATATCACCTAAAATGACAGCAGCAGAGAGGAGAACAGTTTTAAAGTTTGACAGAAGCAACATGATTGGCTGATAGAGGTCGTTGCAAAATTTGATTGGTTTGACTGGAAGAGTAAACGCCCATAATCAGCTGATTGGAGGAAGTTGGGGGAGTGAGAAGCATAAAGTTAGTCTTCCTGAAGCTGAGTTTCATTAAGAGAAAGATTCTGATACTTAGTCAAATGATTTTCTGAATTCCATAAATTTGAAAATAGTTCAGTATCTGTTTCTTCACTGAAAATAGAGCAACTCAGTTTCTCCCTCCTTGTTTCAGATCTGTGTGGGGAAGCGGGAAGATGGCGAGCTCTTCCTGAAGCTAAGCAGCGGGAAGAAGAGAGGGCTGGTCCCAGCTGACTCCATAGAGGAGATCTGAGCCTCTGTGCTCACATCGCCATTCATCCACTTCTACTTCCCCATGGGAGGCACCCATCCTCAGACCAACACCATCACCCCTCCCCCACCTTGCCCTCGGCAAGACAACAGCCGCAGCCTCTCTAGCCAATCCTGACTAGACCAAACACAGATAAGCTGGATGAAAAACACACACTTCTGCTAAGAGCTGGAGCCACAGCCCCCCATGAACACATGGCGTCCAGTTGAATTGATTTACTGTCTTTAATAGAGTGAACAGTTATGCAGTAGTCCTGTTTTTAGAAAGGAACTGTTCCTCAGCAGTCTAGTTTTATCTTTCCAATACAAAAATCAATGTTTAGTTAGACAAAGGATTCACAAGCCACAAATGCTTTAAATATGCTCGCCAGATGCCGGCTCAGATTTTGTTTTCCCCCATCAAAAAGACGTCTACCGACGTGGGAGGAGGCTGAGTCCCATCATGGGAACATGATGCTTCTGTCAGCGTCCTTTTCTTCTTTCTACCCACTCCGTATGTCTCATCCCTATCTGCTCGTGTCAGGGTCTCTGTGGCCTGGGGACTGATATCAGCCTCATGTAGACTGCCGCACAACATGGGGCACTTGCCAAGGACAAACCACTGCCTGCCAGAGAAAGCCGCTGCCATTCAGACGAAGAGGAGAATCAGATGAAAGGAGGAGACACGATCCGAAAATCCTCAGCACTGTCAGGCTGAGTTATAAATGCACTTGCCAACTTGAGAGTGCAGCAATGAGAAGGTTTTCAAAGGGAAATTGAAGGCTCTGAGGATCTTTTCGCAGGCAACTCAGAAACTTTTTTCCCCCCTGACTTTTTCAGTATAATATAACAATGAAAATAAGGTACAAAAAATGCATCAGCATATATTAATTTCTGGCAAGGGAGCATAAATCTGCCTGAGGACCATATGCTCCACAAATAGGTCAGCTCAACAAATTTTGCAAAAAAAACCTTTATCTTTCAACTATCTACCAGACAGGAACTTAAACTTCCAGGAATTTCTCTTATTTTTTGGTGTACATGTATAGGGGTCTTAACTTTGTTGTCTGTTGTTTAAAGCAAATATGATGCAGGATAAATCAAAAGGAGGGTAGATGAAACTTGTGTCTCTCCAGGAAAGAAAAAGTTAGGGTGGTGTTGCCTGGTTCTGCTGGTTGTTGTGAGTAAAACCTTCCAAGTGTAAAAGTGTTGGTTACTGCTCTCCTGCTTTCACATAAAGGAGCCTGACGGACATAAAAGGTTTGGTTTCTGCAGAGACCTGCTGAAGAGCTGCTGTGGGTGTTGCAAACGTTTCACAGTATCATAACATGATTTCAGCGGAGCCGGAACAGTGGGAAATAAAGCGCGGCCGGTCTGCCAGAAAAACGACACAATGGGGATCTTTCTGACCACAGTGAGGAGTTTCACTGACAGCTCAGAGGAGTACACAGGGAAAACAGACGGAGGAGGAGGTGCAGTGAGAGGAATGACATCAGTGTAGAGCCGTTATGAGTCAGTGCGTGCGTGCAGGTAGTGTCGTGCCCATGGGTGCACGAGTCATCATTGATCAAATGTCAGCCTGTCATCTCCATCTTCTGCTCCCTGTTTGGCCTCTCTCGTCTTCTCTTTATTGATGCAGCTGTTCGATTATGACATAAAGTGAAGGTATTTTTTCTCCTGTACTGTGTGGTGGCACACTTTTGATGCTTCCCATCGATTCATTCATCCGTAAAAGAAAGTTGATGTTTTTCTTCAAAAGGACACCTTGTTCAAGAGAGAGGATACAAACTCAGCTTGTGTCACAAATATGAAGAAAGAGTAGAATAATGGCACTGCAAACGATGTAATAATTTAATTCATATGTCTTCTTTCAGAGCACAGCGATCTAGCCAACGTGATCCTTCTTTAGTCTTCATTTTAATATTTGTAAAAAGCCTTTAGAGACTGTGAGAAATAAGCTTCTCTTGTAATAACAAGAATAGCACTTTATTTTGTGTCATCTTGATAAGTTCTGTTGAGGTATCTAGTTCATAGTGGTAGCCGTCGTATTCACTGATACTTTACCTGCGACTTCACTTCACCATGGAGCTCTCTAGTCGAAGGGCTGATGGCTTGTCTTTGTGCGTCTGATGGTTTTTTAAAGTCAAGAGAAAAACTGAGAATTACACCGCAGTATAGACAATACAGTTGTCCTGGAGAGAGAAGAAGAAGAAGAACTGGATTTATGAGTTTTACCAGTGTAACCACTTTGTTATCTTGCATCGTGCTTAGTTTTATGTAGCGTCACATGTTCACACCTTTGAGAATTCAAAATGTTAAGTATGTGTTTGGATGTATCCTGAGTCCAGAGTCAGTGGTTGGCCACATACCTCAATAAAAGATCTTTCCAAAACAGTCTGTGCTCTCTGAACAAACAAAGATGATTTGCACACGCTGAAGATGCTCGTGCATGCAAGGGCGTAGCTTTGGTTTCAACACTTGGGGGTGACACATATGAGACAGGGCGTTTGGAGTCCTACCCAAAAAAATTTGCTACAATCTAGTGATTTTTTTCCTGCATCAAGTTATAGTGGAATTGTCTTTAATTTTGTCAAAATAAAATACCATTGCCCTGCATCCCCCCCTTAAATCTACACCTATGTGTGCATGTGTGAATGCTGTTGATCATGTAGGTCTGCATGACAAACAGCATATAGCTTTAAGTGGGTTTTTTTCTGTATATGTAATCATATTCAACACCTGCAAGATAGCAGGCAGCTACAAAAATGAGACGCCTGTAATGGTGGATTTCAGTTACATCCATGCACAATGCACTGTCTACAAACACACACTGCTGTGCACAGAGGAATGCCAAGATGAGGCTCAAAACAGCAGCAACATAAATATCATGTGATGGCGCTGCTGGAGGGAAAGTAATTCAGACCTTTTTTTATGTAATCACACACAGCTACATGAACCAGAGGGAAAGTAATGACATTTTTAGCAAACAACAAATCAAGGAAAGCAAATGTTGCAAAAAAAAAATGTAGTCTTTATTTAGTCACTCACGCAGGGAAATTTGATTATGTGAATGATTGTCAGAGCAGCAAGAGAGCTGCTAAGCCAAGCTTCTCAAGGCTAAACAGTCGACCTTGTGTTAGAAATAATTCCTATGCACAGCAGATTTTACAATAAGCTGTTGTTGAGAGAATACACGCACATGTTCATTTGACAGACTCAACCTGTTGTCATGTGCAAAGGTGTACTTCACTCAGACTAAAAGCTCAAACAAGAGTCTCACTCAAGACTAATTTTACCTTTTCGTCTTTTTTTTTAGTCCCACACTGTTGTCACTACCTATGTGTTTAAATGAGAGATCAAAATATTTTCTGGACAGCTTAAGCTTTTCCTGGAAGACACAATGGGCTGAGGCTCGCTTGGCTGCATTTGTGTTTCTGCTTTTAAGCATTTCAAAGGTGTGCTCGTACAGAGAGCGCAGTAAATTTTTGTTGTGCGTCATTTGCATCAAATTGAAAGCTGGACCATTTGTGCAGTCTGCCTTTATTTGTCCCAAACATCAAATGTACTGACTATACAAACGTCTCTGTGTGTTTGTGTTCAGCTCAGCAGCCTCTTGTCCTCTGTTATTTCCCTCCAGTCTCTCCTCATGTTCTTCTCGTCTCTGCGCTTTTATCTTTTTCTTACTGTGTCAACACAGAGTATATCTTGTTCAGCCAGAGCTGGACACGGTCTTTTGTTAGGTCATTGTATTGTGCAAGGTCTGTGGCTGTGCATGACTTAGCAGTGGGCAGTGTAGTAAGTCGTACATTGTCAGTGGTTCTGTACCACATTCACATGTCATGTTACCCATAGTAATGGATAACATGAGCTCTCTCAAACCAGTCTCAGTCCCTAACTCATCAAATACACACACTTGGTCAGTGGTCTTCGGTGTCAGATATTGGCGCACAGAGGCCCCCTTTATCTGCAGTATGAGGAGATGGCATCTTTTGGCAGCTGCTGTAGTATAAAAGGGTTGCTGTTTGTTTCACACGTGAAACCAAAAGCCATCAAGTTATTTTGATCATGTAGTGTTTTAGTCGTTTTAGAATGTTTAGCATGATACGCTAATGGCCTATGTCACGTGACAATGCAAAACCTAAGGAAGTACACTTAAAAAGTATGGGTTTTTGTGGGGGTTTTTTGTTTGTTTGTTTGTTTTTTAAAGGAGATTGTATGCATTTAATGAGCAGAAACTGTACATTTCCTGTGAAAACAGAAGTTTGTTTTTAACACAATGCATGTGACATAAATTGTCACGCTGTCCCTGAACATCCAAAAATGAGGTTGGAGAGTTACTTAGAGCGTCATAGTTTGACGTTTAGGGCTACTGACCAAGTGTCGGTGTTTGCTACCTCATGTTTGAGCCGGGAGGTAGAGTTTACAACAGTGTTCTTTTATGAGGCAGATGAATATAGCCCAGATGTATGCAATATTTTTTTTTTTCAATAACTTCACTGAATCGCACCTAAAATTTGCACAATGCACAGCCCTGTGATAATCTGGCGACCTGTTCATGGTGTATCCCGCCTCTCGCCCAGTGTCAGCTAAGAGAGGCTGCAGCCCCCTGTGAACCTGTACGGTTGAAAAAAGACACGTATGATTTGGATCGGTTCACAGCCTTCTGTGGATATTTTATTGAAGACACAGCTTACAACAGTGAGACAGCACTGTAGAGCAGTTCGCCAAACATTCTTATACTCCTCCTCAGACAAACATCATACCTAACTTTCCGTGTGTGTGTGTGTGTGTGTGTGTGTGTGTGTGTGTGTGTGTGTTTGATTTCCTGCCATTTCCCAGAACTTGTTTCACCATCACAATGTTTGCCAGGTCACTTTGCTCTCACCATCACAATGTTTGCCAGGTCAGTCTGCTCTTAGACTTCACCCCAGAGTGAGACCATTCAGGATTATTCAATTTTAGTAAACATGTTTTATTTCTAACTTTATCTCAACTGTCAGACATTTCTTGGCCTTTTCGCTACCACAGTACCAGGATAAGCGGTTACAAAAAATTAATAAATGAATTAATGACTGACTGCAAAGTCACACACTATTTACCAGCTACTACTTGATGTAATAAAGATCACAGCTAACTACTAGTTGCCTCTATGTTACCCTCTCCTCTGAATCCTTGTATGGACTAATTTACAGATTTCTTCTTTGTTTGAAAGTACATTTAGTGGTACCGTAAGTGTTTTGCATTATAAATCACAGTTGGAGCAGAGCAGTGTGTTGTTCGGAGTGTAAAAGGCTACAGAATACTTGGATTACGCTGCTGATGGATCATTTGTGGGCCTTTTTTGCAGTTCTGCAGAATTAATCCACATAATGACACAGAGCTGCACTTACTTTCTAATGTTTTGACATTATAGTGGATAAATAATGGCAACATTTTAATTTTTTGGCTGATAAAGGCCAACTGTGTTTGATTTTTGACTATAAATTTGGTTTTGTTTGACACCAGCTAAACAATAGCCGGTGTCTTGACAGAGGGGATCTTTGGTTAGTCTATGAAGCGGCTAAGGTTTGGCCACCAGCAGTGGCTGCTATACCTCTATTAACACTTGACAGTGCTGCCCATCTGCTCTGACTCAGAGTACGGTGAGTCCTCTCAAGCTGATGAAACTTTGCCAATGTGGAGGGTTCCATCTTTCTCTCCCTCTTCTAATCCTCTCATTTCATTTTTCTGGCTCTATCTGCCTCTCTCAATCACTCACTGCCTCCGTTCTTACTCTCACTTATTGGTGCAGACCTTCAGACTAGTCCCTGTCTTTCACTGTCTCAATCTTCGGGCTCGGTCTCTCTTTCTGCTCCTCTCCTATCAGTTTTAGCACCCTCATGATGATGTCTCTCTTTCTTGCATCAGTCTGACTCTGAGTTACACAGCTGAGAGGGGCAAACAAGAGAATGACAATTTCCCTCCCTCTTTCTTTTCTGCTCTTGTTTTGACATGACTTGTGATTAAAGTCTTTGTAAGGAGGCATTATCATTACTCCCTTCATGTGATGTGATTCTGGAGAAATATCTGAGGAGGTGGGGAAGCTGCTAAAAGTGAAATGACCTATTAATAATGCCTCATTTCTGCTGGCTGCTCCAGCTCAGCTTGGCCATAACGACAACTTTCTCAGGTAGCAAAGCGACAGGAGGTGGACAATTAGGGCCTGGTGTACATGTAGTTATTTCTGAAATCTTGCCCAGTGTCTCTCCGGCTGACCCTGCACAGACCCTGCAGGGGTTTACTTGTGCTCCTGTATAATAAATGTCCACTATCATTATTCACAATGTCCCCTGCTGTTATTATTACGTCTCGTGACCTTTCGCTGTGCCTCCAAGCAAGTGTCAGGTCTAACAGCCCCTGTGCCTCCGGTCCTGGTCCAGGTGAACAGAGAGCCATCACATCAATAGAGACAGACAGACAGACAGAGAGAGAGAGAGAGAGAGAGAGAGAGAGGGGAACAGAGAGAGCATCAGCTGCTGTTCTGAACATTGTGTTCTTCGTCTTTTATCTCTCATCATCCACGTGGTCCCTTTTATTTAACATCAAAATGTTTGTGCTAGAGGTTCCACTGTGGCTTGGGTGTAGACCAGAATCACAATATGAGAAAGAGGAACAAAACAGACCTAGTTTTGCTTGACAGCTATGTATGAGCAGCTCACTACAGCTGAACATCTTTATCACCAGAGGGGGAAATTGTTATACTTTGCCTTCCTTTGCCCTCCTATAATAAAAAAAACCATGAAGAAATATAAGTCATGTTTTTGTTTTGTCTCTTAAAGTATACTATGCAGGATTTTACAAAAAAAAAGTATAGACTCATATAAGAGTAATCCCTCTCAATCATTATGACCCACTACAAATGTGCATTTATCTGTAGAGACCCTGCTCTCTGCCTGTATTTACTTGTTATGCCTCACTGCTGGCCACAGCCTTAATCGGAGGCATTATGTTTTTTGGTTGTCCACCTGTACATCCATCTGTCCCATTACTGTGATTGTAATATCTCAAGAAGGCTCGAGGTCATTTCCTCATATTTGGCACAAACATCCACTTAGACTCAACAATGAATTTATTTGATTTTGGTGGTGAAAGGTCACTTTGACCTCACAAGACATCTTTTTGGCCATAAATCAAGAATTCATATGCTAATTTTAACAAAATTTCACACAAATGTCTAATAGGACATAATAAAAACATTTCAGTCAGGGACATTTTAGTCCAAGAAAGCTTTATTTCCATTTGCAGTATTATATTTGGCGGTATGGCTCTGTTCTGGGGCCTCTTTGCCTTTCCAAGGCCTTCGTGGAAAGCAGAAGGGCAGAGAGAGCACACCTCTCTGCCC